AAGTCATGAACGACTTCGCTTCTTGGCGGTACTATATAGATTGGTCTTTGCATGCACGACTATATTTTATTGGTGCTACAGTGAAAGGAATAGCCTAGGTTGAAGGATTCAGTGGATCTGCAGTCTTAACCAACACTCTGCGAGAATCCGGGCTGAAGGGTATTGCAATGGATGTGCCCTGGCATATCATGTGGATATATGCAAGCAACCAGATCTCGAAGGTCGAACTGTTACAAATATATTGTTGGTCAGCTCAGGCAGAGTACTCCAAAAACTTTGACATACTTCGAACCGTCGGCTTCATTCTCCTGATGGCTGCAGCTGCTCTCTCTTAATGGGTGGGTCTGCATCTTTGTGTGTGTGCACACATGTGCTACTAGAGCTGTCATGTGTGTGTGTGTGTACGTATAGGCATGCAGTTGTGGAAAGCAGGTCGTGTCGTATAGACACATGTCAGTATGCATGGTGTGCCTTTGCCATGTGCGAGTCTATAGGCACAGCCCGTGCATGGTATACATACACATTATCCCAGGTCCGCAATACTCGCCCCGGCGGGCTATTGATCCTAGCTCCGCCATGCAGCTCGTGGGTCTGGATGCTCCTTGCCTATATATAGCTTTGCTTGGAATCATAGGATTGTGGTCTGTCTGGGCCCAGGAGTTCCTCAGCTACGGGAAGAAGTCGAGACCTCCCTGGTGGCAACGAGTACAATCCAAGAGTACGGCTGAATAATATCTTGATCCGGCGTTTGTGCTATGTGTGCCTCACCACAGTTATTGTCAGCAGCCCTGAACAAATTAACTATTAGTGTAAAATGCCCTATATGTCATACTTATAATCCTCCTTAATTCTAGCCTCTAGTATAGACCCTGCATACCTACTACTCGGGACCATGTGCATACCCCTATTATATACTTATACCCTAGGGCCCCAGGGCTTGTAGGAGCCATCTATAGGGTTCCGGGCTATCTTATGAATTTGATTCATAGTACAGTCCTGCTACAGCTGCAGCAATCATCTCAGGATTGCCTATGCATGGAGCCGCCAGGTCTACTTCCTCATCGAGCAACCACTATCCTCTGTGCGAACCTCTAACTAATTCTTGAGCTGTGCATGTAGTGGTCCCTTCGTTGTCTGTGTCTTGTGTATAAAGGTCATGTTCTCCTATCGCCCTTTGCAGCGCCTCCTTCGACAATGTGGTGCCAGGTCGCAACAGCCTGCAAAGCATCACATCTCATGCTGCACGGTGTGATGAGATACCTTAATAGTATGTTGTGCGCTGAGCAGGAGGGTGGTCTTTCCAATGGCGGCTTATGGGTCGGAAACATTGAAGATGACCTTGCTATTCAGCAGCACATGATGTGGACAAGAATTTGCCATGCTGTGGGTTTGGATCTAGGAGGGCATATACACACCGTTGCTTGCTGCATGATCAGGATTTATTCTACGCTGCCCCGTGTGGACTCGCTGGCACGAGCTATTCCCTTGAAGAAGATCCTGTTGAACAGATTGAACCCGGGCTGCACGTGTGTTTGTGTTTGGGGGGGCTTGGGCTGCAGTTGCATGAAACTTAGGAAAGGTGGCAAGAAGCTTGTGAAGCGCAAGCGGGATGTGACAGGGAGGGTGCGAGTCACAGGGATCCCGAAAGCATTAAAGGCTTCGGCTAGATATACTCCGGCTTTCGGCTTGTGTGTTGGTGGTTTGCTGCCTGCAGAGGAGTCGTTTCAGGCTGGCCCTGCTCGCAGTGTCGATGAGCTCTGTGATTCTAGCAGTGACGAGAGCATAGATGATGTACTGCATGGTGCAGGATCCTGTAGCTGGCGGGCCCTGAGGAGCTAGTGCTGCACACGTGTACCCGAGCTAGGTGCCTACAGGGGATAGGGGCTTTGATGGGCTAGCTCTTCCCGATGTGCTAGCTGTGGGCCTTAATTAGAGCTCAAATTCGCTACCCATTGCTAGGTGGTCGCAGGAGCCTAAAACTGCCCGAATGCTGCGTGTCAGTGCGTGTCATCGCGTGTCACTGTTTTATCAAATGCCTTCAAATCGAAGCCACTATACCCAATTTGAGGGCACTTGAGACCTACAGGGCTGTAGTGTGCGTGTCATTCCGTGTCATTGTGTGTCGTCCGGATCGGGTTTTGCTGCGTAGGCAAAACTAGGCCTGCAAACGATCGGGTCGATCCCTCAACTGACTACAGCCTGCTACGGAGCCATTTGGGCTGTAGCACTATCCTCCTAGCCTGCTCTGGGCACGGATGCCTGCAGGCGTGATATCGTGTGTTAACATATTAATATCCCATATAGCTAACACGCTTTCCATGTCAGGCTTACCAGCCAGACGTCGAGTTACTGGCAAGAAGCCTCCGATCATCTCGAAACAATCTCCGGCTGCTGAACTTAAAGCCATGCTAGCACAAGTTGCAGCAGAGAGGAGGAATGCAAGGAGCCAGGAAGACAAGACCAAGGAACGTGTGAGTGGGAAGCGGGAGGCAGGAATTACGGAAGAAGGCAGGAATAACATTAAGAAGCACAAGAAAGAACAGAAGCAAGCAAATTCCGTCCCCAATGCCAGCCACCCCAAAAGCACAAAGGAGAAGAAGGAGCAGAAGGACCGGGATGGAGCAAGTGACAGGCCTGCCCGAGCAATTTCCAATGCCGCCCACTGCACAAAGGAAAAGAAGGACCGGTATGATCAGGAAAGCAGCCACCTCAAAGCCGCCAACAACAAAGCACAGCAGAACCAGGAGCACTACTTCAAGCCGGATCGTGGGGGGCGAAGACTAGAAGTATATTCCGTTCCGGCTCAACCCGACCGATCCGCCGGATACTCCAAGCCAGCCCCGGCAGCACCAGAGGCTAACGACCACGAGGCCAAGAAAGAGAAGAAGGAAAAGAAGGAAAAGAAGGAAAAGATTGCATCGAAAGAGCCAGCACCAGAGGTCACAGCAGTACCAGAGGCCAACCACCAGGAGGCGAGGAAAGAGAAGAAGGAAAAGAAGCAGAAGAAGGAACGAGATGCATCCCAAGAGCCAGCACCCAAAGCCGCAGCAGTTCCCGATTCCAGCCACACCAAGGCCAGGAAAGAAAAGAAGGAGAAGGACCGGGATGGATCAAAAGCGCCAGCACCAGAGGCCACAGCAGTACCAGAGGCTAACCGCCAGGATGCGAGGAAAGAGAGGAAGGAAAAGAAGGAGAAGAAGGAACGAGATGCACCGAAAGAGCCAGCACAGCCAGCACCCAAAGCCGCAGCAGTTCCCGATTCCAGCAACCAAAAGGCCAGGAAAGAAAAGAAGGAGAAGGACCGGGATGGATCAAAAGTGCCAGCACCAGAGGCCACAGCAGTACCAGAGGCTAACCACCAGGAGGCGAGGAAAGAGAAGAAGGACAAGAAGGAGAAGAAGGAACGAGATGCGCCGAAAGAGCCAGCACCCAAAGCCGCAGCAGTGCCCGATTCCAGCCACCCGAAGGCCAGGAAAGAAAAGAAGGAGAAGGACCGGGATGGATCGAAAGAGCCAGCACCAGAGGCCACAGCAGTACCAGAGGCTAACCACCAGGATGCGAGGAAAGAGAAGAAGGAAAAGAAGGAGAAGAAGGAACCAGATGCACCGAAAGAGCCAGCACAGCCAGCACCCAAAGCCGCAGCAGTTCCCGATTCCAGCCCCCCAGTGGTCAGGAAAGAGAAGAAGGACAAGAAGGAGAAGAAGGAACGAGAGGCATCGAAAGAGCCAGCACCCAAAGCCGCAGCAGTGCCTGATTCCAGCCACCCAGAGGCCAGGAAAGAGAAGAAGGACAAGAAGGAGAAGAAGGAACGAGATGCACCGAAAGAGCCAGCACCCAAAGCCGCAGCAGTTCCCGATTCCAGGCACCCAAAGCCCAGGAAAGAAAAGAAGGAGAAGGACCGGGATGGATCCACAGAGCCAGCACCAAAGGCCCCAGCAGCACCAGAGACCAAGCACCAAGAGGCCAGGAAAGAGAAGAAGGAAAAGAAGGAGAAGAAGGAACGAGATGCACCGAAAGAGCCAGCACAGCCAGCACCCAAAGCCGCAGCAGTTCCCGATTCCAGCAACCAAAAGGCCAGGAAAGAAAAGAAGGAGAAGGACCGGGATGGATCCATCAGGACAAGATCATGCAGCCCCAGCAACAGACCCGACAATACGAAGCGCAAGTGTGAAGGCGAAGCACCGATACCCAAGCGCCAAAAGATTGCTGAGGCCTATATGTACGATTTCACCAAAAACCCTAAACCTAAACCCTTAAGGCTAATATTCCTACATGTGAGCCCAACACAACTCCTAAATCTATTGAGCTTCGCCCCAGCCATGTTGCCGCAGGCCTCCGCTGAGAAGGATCCCGAGCTGCAGCCGCCGATCCTGGCTGCCACCAAAGCAGGGGTACAGCAGACCCCCAACAGAACAACAGCTAGGTCCCCGGAGCTCGAGACCCCTAGTCCTGCTGTGCCAAAAAGGCACGACTTCTCAGAGACACCGTCGGCTTCCAAACCCCCAGCCCGAAGCAGGCTCCCACAACGACAGGACACCATACAAAGCATTTTCTTGGGGTCTGAGGATGGTGATTGCGCAAGGGTAGAGCGAAAGACAAGCTTTAGTGAAGCCGAGAAGAAAGCCCTGAGTGAAATGAGCAGCCCAAAAGCATCCCGGATGCAAATCAAGGCAACTTTATCCTGTCCTAAACCCTAAACCCCTAAACCCTAAACCCCTAAACCCTAAACCCCTAAACCCTAAACCCCCAAACCCTAAACCGCTTGCATGATCTGACACATGTATCAACAGCCTAGGACATGCCTTATGTTGAGCGAAAGCGCCAATATGCAGCTCTCCGTCGTGCCATATTGAAGAAGAACAACCCGGCATTGACTGCCAAATTCTCTCTGTGCTCCGATGGTGAAAGGCATGCATCGCTGTGTCCATCGGTAGTCAGTCAAGACCCAAACCCCAACCCATGAGCCCCTAAACCCTTGGACCACCACCAAGCTGAAGCAGGTTTGGGATGCTCAAATCCTTCATGGTCAATGAAGGAGTGGGAGCCATAGAAATCGAAGAACGTTTTGAAACGTTCGTGAAGAATTTGAGATCGGATCGTTACGTCACAGCAACTTGCTATGCAAATTGTGCCCGGTAGCTAAACCCAGAACAGAAACCCCAACCAACCCTAATCCCTCCCATGCCCAGGTAACGCTGTTCCAACTGGAAAAAATCTATGGCTCAACGCCAGAGGCCAAGGAGTTCATCAGCCAACTAGTGAAGGGCTTCTTGGCTTATATATATATATATATATGTATTTGCCCATCTGCTGCGTGTACTTCTGATGACCATGAGCTATGTCAGGGCAAGCTGGCACCCCACACCCACAGGCGGGCCTGTAGACACGCATAATCGTATCGACGAAGCCAAACCTCGCGGGCACAAATCCCCCTTCTGCTGCCGTCAGGTGCCGGCTACCAAGATGTACAAAGTGCTCAAGGAGATCCTGGAGGAAAACCAGTCTGGTTCTGCTGGGTCGAGCAATGTTGCTTGTCTGCATGTCGGTCTGTGGTCAGCTTGGTGGTCCTGTGAGCCTAGCCTAGCTCTATAAGGTCAAGCTTGGAGGAAGAGTGAATGAAGCTTCGGCTAAGAGGTTGCTTGCAAAGCAACTGGGGCCGGAGATTGCAGCACTAGATGGCACCGCCTTTGTGGACCTGAAGACAGGCAAGATTACGGGAAAGACGCTCGGAAATATGTAGTGTGCATGTATACATACGGCCTATATGTGTAACCGGATTTAGACATGTGCTAAGGGTTCAATCGGTGCTAAGGAAGGTGAAGAAGATGCTGCCCCCCGAGAAGCAAGTTCCGAAGGACATGAAGAATCTCACAGCCAGGTCTCTTGCCCGAGTGATTACGTGTACTGCTGGTGATTGTGCTGAAGTTCAACTCTAGCTATCAGCTCTCTTGTTGCTAGGCTGGATTCCCTGCAGAAGGCAATCCCCGCGAAGGTTTTGGAGCTACGTGGCCTGAAGATCCGGAACTGCTCTGAGCTCGCCAACACCTCAGTGAACCGTGTGAATTTACAGGGGTGCCATCTAGCCAGTATTATATTAAGCTTAATTCTTGGTGGCAGGTTGACACTCTTCAGAAGCATGAGCCTCGAGTACAAGAACTCTGGAGCAGCACGAAAGACTTGCAGGATGGTACGTTCGACCTGGAGCGTTGGCAGCAATGGCTGGATGACAATCATGCCTTCGTCCAGACAGTAGATGCAGACATCCGTGATGCACAGCGAAGAATCACAAGTACGAAGAACAAGCTTAAGAAAGCCCAAGAAGAAGCTTCCAAGAAGAAAGCTTCTGACTTGCCAGATGATGAAGATGATGAAATGGAGGAAGACGATGATGAGGATGATGATGAGCAGGAGGAGTGAACTTTTCTCCTGAGCGGGAGGGTGCCTGTCCTCGATACACAGTCGCCTTAGACGCATCATGCAGGTGCTACGAACAAATAGTAGCATGTCCCCGGGGCTCCGCTAAACTTGCAAGTGTATGTCGTGCCTGCTGGTGTTCTGGCGAGTAGTGTGTATATGTGTCAGGCTGCTAGAGCATCCGTCGGGAAAACACATGTGGATCCTCGTCATGATACTGGCCTATAGGTGTCGTTATAGCATGGCTGCTAGTATGGTGGCTAGTATGGTGCTCTAGCTCGGGGAACTTTGCACAGACCGGGGCGAACCTCGATGTGCCTGCACCAAGATGAAAGGGGCGCGGCAAGTTGCAATGGACTGTAAGCTGCCGCATGCATGTGCAGTACAACATCCATCAATTCATGCTGATGTATGTACAGCCTGGTTTTAGCTCGAGGTCTTTGTGCACTTCGATCGAACAAACAAAACCCCGAGGCCCTAAACCCTAAACCCTAATATAACTTATTGGGTTTGGGGCTAGGTTAACCTACCCTACACCCTAAACCCTGAACCACTGTTAATTTGGATCCTGACACAGCCTGAAGCGAAAGCACACAAGTGAGTGACCCCGGGACCAAATACGTACTGTTCCAGGTGATTACCAACTCAGTGCCACCCCTCATGTCAGTGTGTAGGGCTGACAATGGATCTTGTCGAAGAATTTGTGGAGCTTGGGCGACAAGTGGCTTGCTCAAGATATGATTGTAATGTGCATGTATAGCCCTAAACCCTAAACCCTAACCCTAAACCCTAATATATCTTGTACATGCACACCCTACTCCTTGCCATAGCTCAGGTGAGTGTGGAGACGTTGATGTCTATGCTGCGGATCATACACCGGCGCTTCCCGAGGCATCTCTTGCCGACTCTTAGATGCAAGTCAGATTTAATGCACGTTTTGGGAAAGGCATGCCTCTCAGGGCCAATCTATGTGATCTTTGCGACCGTCTTTCTGCGAACTCGAAGAATCAAGTGCGAACTTTTTGGAGATGGCTCAGTCGCCAACGTTGGCGGCAAATGTTACCGCTGCCGACTGAGAACTTCGACACAATTTGATAGGACTGGGATGTAGCAGCTAGCATTCTTGTATACACATCTACCACTTTTAAATTCATCCTTGAACCAAGGGTCGATGTGGTGCTTGTCCCGGGCTTAAAAGATATAGCTAGCTATCTTGAAGATCAAATCCTCCGAAGCCGAAACCGAGACGGACCCCAAGCGAACAGAGCCCCACTACCTGGGCAAGTGGCACATGCTGCTGCCGAGTGAAGTGCTGCTCATCTGACCTGCAAGGAAATATTCTGTCAAGCACCACATCGAAGCGCATGGGTTTGCATGCACTGCTAAGGTTTGGATCGATTTATGCCTATGATGAGCAGCTATTCAGGAAGCTGCTGCTGGGAAAAGATGGTGCCCCGTGGCCTGCACGTCTGCGATTCGCATCCGTAGACCTGTCATGTCGATTGTGTGCCAAGCATTCCAATCGGAAACTCAGGCGATGAAAGACTTTTGGGACAAGAACAAAGAAACTGCATGGTTCCGGGAGAACCCCTACCTCCCAGAGCCCTGGCTGACTATTTATAGTCATATACCTAGAGGATCTCGCTATCATCCTGTGCCTGCCATTCCGTTCCAGGAAATGGATTTGCAGAAGACAATCCCGATTGTTCTACATGGGGATGATGCAGAATGCCATCGACGACGTTCTTTCATGGTAGTGACGTGGGGTTCATGTGTAGTTCACACAAACCCCTGGGACTCCAAGCTGGTAGTGTATGCCGGGGACAACAGCCAGTCGTGTGCTGAGACTTATGCCGTGCTTGACCAATGGCTGGTATGGTCCCTGGTGGAACTCCTACTGGGTCAATATCTTGATGTTGATCCCTGGGGGAACCCTTTCCCCAATCGTGACTTGGATGCAAATGCTGGTCTGCTAGCCTGTCATCTATCTGTTTCTGATCGTTGCAGCCCTAAAGGTGGGAAATCTGGACCTATTGCCAATGGCTGGCGAGCTGTGCTTGTATTCCACAAAGGTGATGAGAAGTACTTGCAAAAAGTATACGGAATGGTGAACTCTGCGACGAGCAAGAATGTATGTTTTGTCTGCCAGGCCTGGGGCTAGTACTGTGTATGACTTTCGTGGTAATTTTAAGCGAGGCAACTACGGATGGCGGATCCCCGAACCTCTACACCCACCACGGGCCCTCGGCCCCACATCGTCAAACGTGCCTTGGACTGAAAGCTATGTGTTTGCTGTTCGCATAACTCGTACAAGCATGTTAAGCCTCGCGAGCAGGATGTTCAGCACTGCCGACTTTATCCGCTTCGGATGTCGAGATAACCCTTTCATCCGCTATCCCGGGTTCCATGTGACAATGATATGTGGGGACTGGCTCCATGTGATGGACCTGGCTGTGGTGCCTGATGCATGCGGCTCTGAATCCTACCTGCATATATATATATATATGTGCATATGTGTGTACCGTATTGGGTAGACCTGGGCTAAGGCACTTCTAGAGCTATCGGAAAACTCTGTTGTTTGGCCTGGTTCAACTCAAGATGAGCGGCTCCAGCACGCCTACACGTGCTTCGTGGCCGAATGCAAGGCCAGCAATGTCCGAGCCCAGCCTATATATGTGCCATCCATGCATGCTGTGCCTGCTGATACTGCAACATCTCAGGAAACCGTGGCAAGATCTTCTCAGTGCCACTTGGATGTGTGATATCTGATATGGGCTAGCCTTTCGATTTAGGATCCCGGGCAGTCACGAATGCCATCCGCATACTTAGGAAACATATCAAGCATGGAGATGCCTTCCCTTCGATCGCACAGAAACACCTGAATGGAGCAGCAAGCGCCCCGGGACCCACCAAATGTGTTTCATGCCAGCAGACAAGTACGAGTCCTGTGATTTCAGGAAGCCTTCATCCTAGCGAAATGGTTAATGGGTGTGACACTTCGTGTCGCTCATGCGAACCCCGGCGACAGGCATGCAGCGTGCCTGGGTTCCCAAGGATGTCATGAACAAAGCTTGCGATGCTATAGCTAGATGAAATCTGAGGCTACGTGCAGCTGTGTTTTGCAATCTGGTGCACATGAGAGAAGCAATCTCGATCGAGAAGCACGGAAATCGCTTTGTGACTTTGTCGGAGCCGAACCTACGCAAATTGCAGCAAGCGAACTTTTTGTTCCATGCAGCTTTGAATAGTGGGATTCTGAGTTTTTTCCATCATCGCGTGTTGGAAATGCAAACGTTGCTCTAAAATACTGCTAGTTTTTCAAGGTTTGGCTTCAGAAGCCATAGCAGCACGGCAGCTCCTTTGGAAGCTACGACCCAAGCTACACAAGTTACAGAGCTGCAATAGAAAGTCGCAGCCTTTGAAACGCATGGCCTTAATCAAGTATGTGTAGCTGAGGGTGGATCATATCGCTCTCGACCTTGCCCCGCGTGTGAACCCCATGGTTTTGTCGACATATGTCGACGAAGACACCGTATCATGACTGCAATAATTTTTGTTCATCGAGAGCATCACTCATCAAGAGCATCTCTAAATCTTCTGGCCTATGATCTCTGACAGGTTGGCAAAATCAAACGATTTGCCATGTTGAGCAGTCCGGAGCAGCTAGGGCGCCAAGTCCTCGATCGATACTGTGCCTATGTATGTACCAGATGGCTCAGACGTCTCACTGAGAATTCGTGGTAATCAAGATCAAGCAAGCCGGCTCGGCAAAAAATGTCCATCCATCTGGACAGCAGCCGCCGATGGTATGCTCACGCACATGTGTGTGTGAGTGTGGGCATGTGTGTGTGTGTGTGATACATATGAACATCTGTTACACCCAAACTCCTCGTATACCCCTGATATGCTTCAACTCCTGACCCTGATGCCTATATAGCCCCAACAAAAGCATTCGCAGGCCTATCGGGATATTTGCTCCACTTGCTCGTTTTGACAAAAGAACCCCGCCAAGCGCATCTACAAGTGACTTCGTTTAGAGACTTTTCTAAGTGCCTGCAAATCGAAGCCCCCACCGGGCGTTTCCAATTTGAGGGTCGAAAGAGGGGCCTGGTATATTTATTTATTTATGTACATATATATATATATGTATATATACATCTATATATATATATGCCTTTAAATACTACTATGAGTCTTTTTTAGGTTTTTTCGACCCTAAACCCCTGGACCCTAAACCCCTCAAAAGTTCCCGTTTTACGGTTCTCTTCGTCCTGAAGGTATGCCTCCAAGGGCAAAGGCTGCAAAGACGGTGCCAACTGCGACCACTGCCACCTCTGCAAGTGGAAGAAGACCGGCGCCACTGCCCCGCGTGCCTCCCGCGGCCGCGCACCCAAGGCAAATCGCCGTGGCCGGGGCCAGCAAGAGCCGTGAGATCGACACCAGGGTTTCCGAGAGACTCCAAAACCCCCTTAATTAAGGAATATACCTTAAATCATAATAGGAACCCTAATAAGATTTAGGTATATATTCCTTACTTAAGGGGGTTTTTGGAGTCTCTGGTCTCTGAGGTGGCCAGTCTGCTATGTAGTTCGCCTGCCGCCACATATTGCAGAAGAGATTCATGAGTTCCTGTGTCGCTGATGGTCTCCCTATGCCGGGTAGGAAAGAGAGCTGTTGTGCCCACATGGGAAAGGAATCACTTCTGAGAGGCTTTGGCCTTGCCATGGCGTGGACCAATATTTTTCAACAGTCTCGCAAGCATCTCCGCCGCAGCTTCCCAAGAGTCTCAAGGACTTCATTCAATGTTGTACTTTGCGCAAACATGAGGATACGGGGCCCTAAAACCATCAGCCCTGTACCATAAACCTTAATCCACAAATCCGTCCTAAACAATCCTACACCCGAAACCCCAAATCCTAAACCCTAACCCCCAAATCCTAAACACCCCCAAATCCTAAACCCTAAGCCCCAAATCCTACACCCTAAACCCCAAATCCTAAACCCTAATCCCCAAATCCTAAATCCTCTACCTGGGGATCCAAAAACCTATTGCTTAGGGGTGATACCCTATCATGATGGGGTCATGACCTACTATTGTAGGGTTTGGGGATACAGGTACTTCTAATACCGCAACACCCGGAACCCGCACCCTCGATGTGAAACCGCCGCCCCAGATGAGCCTCGCGACCGCACACCCGTAAGCTGTAATCCATTCCTATAGGGTTTAGGGTTTAGGGTTTAGGGACCACTAGTGTAAAGCCTCAACCCATGTTGCAAATTTAAACCTTCCGCTATTCCTGACGACCTCCTTCCCAACCCCGGTAGCTAAATACGTAATCCATTACACAAGTCGGAAAACCCTATGTCAACCTAAACCCTAAACCCTGAACCCTGAACCCTAAACCCTAAACCCTGAAAACCAAACCTATGAGACCGTACAGAGTCTGTCGAGCGGGGATGTCATTCTCAGGAGGTCCTGTGGAGCAGGTATTTTCCTGGCAGCAACTGGGTTCTTATTCAGGGATTTATATCAAACCCTGTTGTTTACACTAGATCCCTATTAATTATGGTAACTTAATGTTATCCCGTCACAAGAACCCAGGCAACTGTTGGAGTTCTCCGAGAATAATCAATCGATGGGGCTCTAGCAGGCTTTACGACAGTTGGACCAGGGTAGGAGCACCTGGGAAAGGACCCAACAGAAACGAGTTGGCATTCCGATGTTTTCGGGCTTCACCGGTTTACTTTACTTTCCATGCTTTCCTGGTGAGTGTGTAGGCACCCTGTGAGACGTAAAAACCCTACAGCATCATCCACATCATGATAAAATCTCTGACTCTGAAGATTAGCCAGTCTGTGTTTATTGCGCGTAACTTTCATGCGTTCATTTCCAATACTACTCTTCTCAATCCTATGTAACTGTGCGTAAGTCTTATGGCACGCGGTGGCACTTGCCATGTGTATTATCAGTCATGTCTCTAGTACTACGTTTACCAGTTCTTTTGTGTTGCGATGGATGTTGAATACAAACGCGAGACGTGCAAGCATCATAAGTCCAGACACACAGTTATAGATAAGCAAGCACATAGACGCACATATTCTGTGTGTATATATATATATAGAGAGAGAGAGAGATAGGTACATGCACATTACACATACATGCACATCATACATGTATATATTTGGATCCAGGCTCCTGTTATTTTCACCATTGAACCGACGGTGATGGTGGTGGTGGTGGTGGTGGTGGGGGTGGTGGTGGGGGTGGGGGTGGTGGTGGTGGTGGCGGTGGTGGCGGCGGGGGTGGTGGTGGCGGTGGGGGTGCTGGTGCTGGTGCTGGTGCTGGTGCTGGTGCTGGTGCTGGTGCTGGTGCTGGTGGTGCTGCTGCTGCTGCTGCTGCTGCTGCTGCTGCTGATGCTGATGATGATGGCGACGATGACGATGATGACGATGATGATGATGATGTTGGTGATGTTGGTGATGGTGACGGTGATGGTAGGATTCAATTGGGTACTCGAACCCCGAACGTAGCCCTAAAACACAGCAAGCTATTGTCGCACGCTGTGGTGAGCAGCCTCCCGAAAATTGTAGAGAGAGGAGAACTCCTCAGCCATCATATGTTAGGGTTTCCAGGGCCGATCCCTGTGGCCAGCGAGCAACCTAATGGCAAAATCCTTAAAGAAGTCACAAAGACTGTAGTAGCTCCCGGTAGGGCACACAGATCGCGCTCTTTTTGGGAGAAGATCGTGCACACTTACAGAGACTAAACTCGCTACAGAAACGATGTTAAACAGATATGTAGACAATGTAGGCTCAATGGTCTCATACCCTCCATGCTACGGTTGATGGTATAAACCCTGCATTACCCATAATAAGGAATATACATACCATAATTCCCATAGTTTAGGACCCTTGAGGTAGTGCAGGATTCAAACCATCAACATTTCGTCCCAAAGCCTTCGTTCACATGTTGGTGGTATGGTATGTAGCAGATATAGCAGGGCAGATTTCACCCCGACCCACCTCCGCCCCCTCAAAAGCCCAAAACCTGAACCCCGGGAGCCCGATCGTGAACGGCGACATGCGAAATTTAACGAGTTTGGGTTAGTGTTTAGGGTTAAGGAATCTGTTAGTATGAATTCAGGATCCGGGCTGTCCGGATATAGAGGTCAGAACACTTAGTAAGTACATCAATTACATCCCTTCAAAGTCCATGTTTCAGAAAGTACACCGCACCCCAAAACCTTCATTAAGTCCCGTACATTGGGTTCAAGATTGCGGTGTTCGTGTTTGGGGGATAGCTTGAGAGTTTCAGACAGCAAGTTTCACTCATGAGGCTTAATGCAAGCACTTTTCTGATGATTGTTGGGGGCTATGAGGGCATAACAATCGGAAGACTTTTTTTTGTTTTTTTTGTGTGTGTTCCACGATAATGACTACTAGAGACTATATAGGGGAAATCATCTTGCTATTCCGACCCCTTCATTAAAACCCGGAAGACAGAAGCGCCCTAGACGCTGCGCTCTGAAGCTCATGTGGGTCCAGCATGTTAGCATTTTGTTAGAGGTTGTCAAGGTCATATGGCATCTGGCAGTCCCCCGTTTTGACTTTAAAACCCTAAACCCGAAAGCCCAAAGACTTCTAGATTGAGACAAGATCTATCAGCCGAGCGAAACCCAACAAACTACTTGCAGTAGCTTTTGCAAAACCTACGAAAACCACAGAAAGAACATCCCTTGGAGCCCTGAGCCCGTAAATCCAAAGTCCTAAAGTTTCCTAAGGCCTCAAAACAACTCTGAATATCCGTTTTATATGCGACCTTCAAAAATGCAAAACTGTCAGCCACAAAGATCAAACACCTCAGAAACTGCGCATGGGTCTTTATACGTAAAGATCACGTATCTTGCTGCGCCTAGGGTCGCTTACCGTGCACTCTGCTGTTGCTAAAGGGAGGGAACAGCCGAAAGGTTTCAGGGTGTTCTAGAATGGGGTTTAGGGTTTAAGCAGTTTGGGGCTTCAAGGGTGTTGTAAAGGCATCAGAAGCCTTTTGCTAATTAAGGATTTGTGCAAGGAGTCTATAAGGGGTGTTTCAGGGTTCTTATGTATTTTGTCGAAGATATAGCATTTCGTATCACCATAACCATCGTTTGACTCAAGTAAAATATGCGCGTGCATCCTGGCTGTTCTGCCTATCAACATATGTTACAAAGGCTTTATAAGGGTCTTGCTTAAGAATGTAAAAGCTCTAGAACGGTGTTTTCGAGTGTTTGATACAGGCTTTTGGAGCTGTGGATAATGTGTTAGGCCCTAAACCCTAAACCCTGAAGGTTGGGCACGGTGATAGCGGTCAAAGGGCCACGGGTATTGGGGGGCACGGTTTGGAGTGTAGGGCTTAGGGTTACTAGAAAGTCGTTGGCACTTGCGCTGGATTTCTGAGGTTTTAATGCAGGG